GAACACAGCGACATCGTGCATCATCTGGCCGTCACGCATGGCACGAGCGGCGGTCTCGGGACGACGGCCCTGTCCCCTGGACGGTGACCGGACCAGCGATCGCTCTCCCGCCCACCCCTTTCCCGACGGCCTCGACCACCTTGCTCCTCACTGACGTCCCTCTCCTCGTGGGCGTCTGCTCCCAGCCATATTTTGTGCTGTACCGTGCGGCGAACGATTCTTTTTCCGCCATCGCGCGGGTCGGGTGTTCCCAGAGGTACCCCAAGTGCTGCCCGTTTGACATCTTTGCCGCGATTCAACCTTTTCTCTCCGCCTGCCCACCGGACTACGACGAGGCTGGGGGGAAATGCTGCCCCACGTATGGTTGTGTACACTTCTCCGATCCGAGATTTTGGAGCTAATTCAGGTATCTACTAGGGACTGGGCGCTGCAGGCGGTGGGAGAACCGCCTCAGACGTTGTGCCGCAAGAGTCTGATCACGCCGCTCATCCCAGCCCCCCTGCCTCTCCTACCATCTCTAGCTATCGTGACCGGCGAGGTATATTCACAGCCATATGAGAAAGCACGGGCTCCGCCGCCGCCGCCCATGTCACGGGACATCCTCATCGTGATGGTCACCATGATCGCCTTGCTGTGCGTGGTCGTCGCGGTCGCGGTGGTTAGATTGTGGCGACGACGGCACCGTCGACCGCACGAACCCCGATGGCCGCCATCGTCAATCGTGGAGAAGCAGGACTTCAATGCCCGCAACCGGCACACGGGGTATCCCTCGCCGGTTGGCGGCTGCTCACACCGCGGGCCTTCGTCCGCTCCCAGGGGCGATGTAGACTCCCGGTCACAACCACCGTGCCGAGACCTCTTCGAACTGCCCGGGAATACTGATGTGGACGAAGACGAGGAGAATGGGGACGAGGATCACTCTGCGAGCGGAGAAAATATCGTGATTCGTTTGTTTCAGGAGGTGGAAGCTCAATTTCAACAGGAGGGAACCACCGGCGATACGCGGCCGGTCCACCGGGAGAGTGCCCATGACTGGCTCCCGCGCATCCCATCAGAGGTCCTCCGGCCAAAGATGCACAACAAGATCGCTGTATGACGACCTGCGTCGGCATCGAAGAGAGGCTCTTACATAGACATCAAGGCGGCAAGCTGAGGGGCGCCCACAGTTGGTAGAGGGATACTCACGCATTCAGTCAGGGGAGGCAAACCACACAACGGAGAATAGAAGCGTAAATCGGACAGGTCGAAATCGCGAGACTTGCAAAGATATGTCACTATGCCATAATTAGTCATAATGTCTCTTCTTGTGGAGCCTATATATTTCATGAGATTACAAATACACCGCCAAGCCACCCTCCAAAGCGGCAAGCATGTTGACTTTATTTCAAGCCAATACTGTGCCTCTTCCCCTTTGAGATCGTGGGACGGTGAACTTTTTTCCCGATGGGAGGTATTCTAAATACTGTATCGAAAATACTATTGCTTCGAGTTGTCTACAGGGGCTCGAGGGGCTGAACGGAAACTACCCCGAGCATCGGAGAGAAGAAGACCCGAATTCACCGATCAGAACCCGGGCCAGATTAAATAATTAAAGTCACATGTCCTGCGGGAGTAATTTAGGTATTGGACTACTTGAAATCTTTCTAAGCTCATATCCTCCACAACATCACCCACGTTACAAAGATTATCTCCTTATCGAAGCTTATATTGCGCGCAATGTGCGGGTGGGAGTATTCTGGAATGAAGGTTCTTTCTAAGATGATTAACACTGTCATCAACTGTCATCGGCTGCAAAACTCCAAATTTACGTCCTAGACCCCTGGAAACGAGAAGAATGACATAGAAACCCGCCAGCCACGTGATTGCCATCAGAAACTATTTCGACCTTGACATCAGCCGCATACGCCTTATGCGCTTGTAGACTGTCTCGTATATGGGATCATCAGGGCTCTCGAATTGACACAAGGCCCAGTGTGTTGCTTCGGCGGGAATTTGCTCTTCGTCAGGGCTATCTATCAGCGCGGAGTCTTTCTGAACAATCTTGTCAAGGTTAGTTGATGAAGAATCAGACTGATGGTGAAAGAAGATGCAGACCAGACTAGATGAAAATAACCCCCGGCGTAACGCCTGCGTCTCATAAAAGGTGATAAGGGTATAATTAGGTAGGTGCGCGAAATCCAACCTCAATCCTTCCAAATCTAGATTTCCATCAATCACTAATCTCTGGCTCCCTCTGTGCGGGGTATAGTACCAAAGAAAATGATGCCAACTTGTGGCCACATGAAGCGATTGCATGTTGTTGGCAGCTGCAACCAATGCCTGTCCGAGTGTACAAGATCAGTGGTTCCATTCATGCTGAGCCCAAAGCTTACTTTCTTTACAATGAGTCCACCTATTGAGTGGCTTACAGTAGCATTGCGTTCTCGCTGCAGAATTGCTGATCACAAAGCGAGCATTGATGTGCGACAGCTGAAGCTTGGTTTTTGACTCCAATATGGTTTTGAACGGCTTTGCGATACCCAGCTTTGCGTATGGGACATTGGTGTTTCACGTTAGTACTTGGTGCCGGAGGCGTTATTTAAAGAGAAGAGGGTAAGATTTGAAATATTTAGTCGCAATATCGTCCGAGTCTTTGGTAATTTTTGTTGAGCTCTTCATCGACTCGTCAGGCACACTTGAACCACGGAGGGTAAGTTGTCTCTTAGGTTGCAGTCTTGAAATGTTTACGTGATCGCCGACCATCAAGCCTATTCAGATCGAATCGGGAAGGTCATCCGAAATCATTAGCCTAGTCTTCTTTTCCATACGGGATAGACACTTAGCCCCTTTCGAGCTAGCTCCGGGTACTGGAATTACCTTTTATGCTGCGCAAGACTTGAGGGAGCTAAAGTAATCCCGAAGCTAAATCTCACAGAGTAGAGGAACGGGGGGAAGAGCTTCCGGGTGAACGTTTCACGATCGTACCTTGATTAATCGCGAGAGAACGTCCTTCAATCGACTCAATGCCATGTCTGCAAAGCACAACTCAATAGGAGCATTGACGGCGCCTCACAAAAACGAAACCTAACTTCCACTACCCCTACTTCTCTCTTCTCTCGGAAACCCTCCAGCCGCATACAAGATGCCACAAAAGCGTAAGCGGGCGTGGTCGGTGGAAGATTCAAGGGCGCATGGACGGATCAAGACACAAGCAGAAGCCAGGAAACGGCGAGAGGCTTACAAGTTGGAACGAATCAGAGCACTCATCGAACAAGGATTTACGAAGGGCCATTTGAATGGACGGCGCGACAGGTATTATTGTATGAAGGAACATCCAGGACGATTCTGTGGTCAGTGCAACCCAAGGGCCGACGAGGAGGATAACGAAGGTCTCAGCGACGACGAGGCTGAAATGAGCGATTCTTGGAGTGATGGTACGGCTTCCGATGATGATAATCAATCGCTCACATACTCTGAGCTTTGGTACAATGAAGAGGAGAGAGATAAAGTCGTCAAATACATCAAGGACAGGATCCAAGCTGTAGACTCAGCTACTACACGACTCAAGATGTTGGTGGATGATCCACAAGCAGAGAAACCTCCCGTGGGTGGATTACGAGGCGAATGGACACTGTATAACTTGGATGTCTGTCCGAAGCGGTATGAGCCTACTGGGGAGTACTACCGGCTGACTGTGAGCGAGGTGGCTGTGAAAGGGGAGCTGGTGAACCCAGATCGTATCAGAAACCCCCCTTACGAAACTTTTATAGAGTGGTTGATCAAGGATGATGGTGGGGACATTTTACCCTTTCCATTACCAACACACGCCTCCCTCGAACCGATCCCGATCCGACTCATGACAGAAGCTTCGGATGATGTTCCTGCTGAGATAGTCTTCCTGGGCAATAATTGTCTGTGGTTTAGAGTTCCCAGGTCGATTGTTTATCCGAGTGAGCCATGTCGATTTGGGACGACATTCCCGCTGATAGAATTTGCTGGAGTTCGCCAGACAGAGGCCGACATTGAGAAAAAGAGGAGAAAACGTGAGAAAACGGCACAGGAATGGAAAAGAGCAAATAGTCCCAAAACTTCTATTGCGGCGTCCTTATGTGGCTGGGACTATTGAGATTCTCTACGAGGCTCTTTGAGATTGCTCCCAACCTCAGAATTCTATGAGTCTTTCCCGAGAACCTTGGTGCACCGGGTGCATCTCCTTGGGATGTTAGCACCCAAGAGTGTTCTTTTTTCAAGCTGAGGTGCCATCCTGGAGGGAACTAGCGTCGAAAATCTCTGATCAAACACAGTGATTGGTTGCTGAGGGTATGTCCGGTTCCAGCTCGAAGTGAACGAGTTTGCAGAATGCAATCCCATCATCTCATGGCCGTAAAATTCCGCTCTCTTGTGGCCGCTTAGATTCACGATCATGGCAAATTCTTCTGCACACTTCTTGATCGTGTCGTTGTCCCATCGGGAAGACCCTTCCTTTAGCCGCTCGAGATAGTCTTTCAACGGGTTCGAAGGCAGTTTGTTGAACAAGTTAGCGAGAAGACCCGCCCTATGTTGTATACAACGATCTGGAAGTTGCTCAACTACAGTACAACAAACCCGTCTCGCCGTTGTATTATGATCCGAACCGCGAAGCAGTACTGACCAAGGAGGTTCCTTGATAAGTGGGTATTAGAGGTTATGACCAGGTATAGGTCGAAAGGAACTATTCTCGTTCGGGTTACGGGCCTTTTCAATTGCGGCTTCGCATTGCAGAGACACTCCCAAATTATCGGGGACTGTTTTTTAACCCCAATGAAGTCTAAGCTAGCTATATATGGACAAGCGTGTCTTAGCTGTACCACCAATCGACAGAAGGTATTTGTCGCCCTTTCAATCGTAACTTGCGGGTCGATAAAAACAAGCTTGTCTTAAAGAGGATAGTGGGATTGAAGTATTTAGCGCAGCAGTAATTTATGCCCCCGATTTTTGTGTGGCTACCATTGCATGCCCGCAATCAATACATATCAACAGTTTTATTCGAGCACGGTAGGCATATGTTGAGCCCCGATCTGAGCCGGCGTAAGTTGCAATGCCTGAAGCCAACCTTCGATTTCAATACACCCTTTCGAGGATGGTCCTTGAACGACCGTATATCCCGACCATGCTCGAATGTGCATTACTTTCGCCATGTCCTTCCGATCTGTTTGCGAGTAGAGGTCACCAAAGGCGATTATGGTGTTCAACGCTGCGAGATATGATGACACAGCCTCGACGCCGAGAGCCTCCTCGTAGCCTTGCAGCGTCCGAATGTACATCTTCTCTGTGTGGGCCAGCTTTCCTTGATCAGCATAGAGGGCGCCTAGGTTATTGACCGTTGAAAGTGTCGATGTGTGGTCTGGTCCAAGTGCATTCTCCTTGCCTTGCAGCGCCCGAATGTACATCTTCTCCCCCTGGGCAAGCTTACTTTGGTCGGAGTAAAGGTTACCTAGATTGTGAAAAGCCCAATCCAGTCTATCTAAATCTATATTGCCATCGACTATAAAGAGATGCTGTCGTGTCACGTGCTGAAGGAGTCGCCGTTGTAAGAGGAACCTCTGAGGCCCTGCAAGCCAAGGCGAGCCTTGCCAAGCCCTCCTCCCACTCCTTAATTAAGGACGAAAACCGTCCACGAATGTACACAGCTGTGCACACTATACCCTCCAGTCCCGGACTGCTGCTGAAGAGACCGGTCTACATCAACTAGTCCGAAGCTGCATAGCAGCGTAACGGCTTCATTGAAGTTCAGTTCGTCCTCGATTAGCTTCTGCATGCATTCGTTGTCGGTGGACTGTGCATGTCGAAGGAGTTCGAACCACATGTCCTGTCTATCAAAATATGCCCACCACTTGAGTAATCTGGCTGACGCAGCATTCTGTTGTTCAATCCGATTAAAGGTGATCTGCCATGTCGTGTATAGAGAGCGATCCTTATAGGAACTTAGCTGCGGGCTCGTCATCTGAAGCTTTAACCACGACGCCTTATAGAGCCGAAGATAATCCGAGAAACTGGTGGTCACGTGCTCTAGATATGCCCCAGCCGCAGCAAGAGCAAGAGGCAGGCCGTCTAGTTCTTCGACTAGAGCGATAGCATCGCGGTCCGTTTTCATTAGCGTGGCTTCAAAGTATAAGTTATCTCCACGTCCAAAATTACCTACCGTTTTCGATATTCTCCCGTTTCGACGTGTTTGACAAGATTTGAAGACCTTCATGAATATTCCGCAACTTCTGAATGTGGATGCGATGACCTTGGTGAACTTGGGCCGATCGCGTCGTGATTATGATCGAACCGTGATCAGCTTGGGGAAGGAATCGGCGTATATCGACCGCTGAGCGGTCCAGATTGCCAGCTGTTCGGGGGTTGTCATAGTTATCGTAGATCAGTAGCCACCGCGCGTTTCGTCGGAGGTTGAGCCAAGACTTGACTGCCGCGACCACTAGATCTAGGTTTCCGTCCAAGTCCACGCTGGCAAGCGCACTAAGCGGACCAGTGGAAGCCGGCCCTTCTGGTCCTCGAGGACACGTTGGGCGATATCTCGAAAAACTTAACTTCAGAGAATCCTCATCTGAGACTTCACAGTTGGTGGGACGGCCAGGTCCGCGCATATTAATCCACCGCCCAGGTCATAGCATCTCAAAGGAGTGTAGTCATAGCTGTTGATTAGATACCGTCCAGGTAATTCAAATTATTTGATTTCCAAAATCTCACTTTTTTCAATATGCTAGAAGAGCCGGCTACCTAGTTCTCAACTCACAGCATATGAGCTCCAGTCTGAACGACGCGAGCCACAAGAGCGGCAATAGTACAGCATGTGAGGTGAAATCTCCCCATCCCATATGTCATTGCAGCTGGGGCATTGATATCTATCTTGCTCGTTGCACCCTTTAGCCATAAGCTGTACCAGGTCGGCCGCAAAGCTGCTTGCTTCATTGAGAACGCGCAAGAATTTGTCTTTTTTAAGCAGTGCCTCCATATGTTCCCGGGAAACTCCAGCAATCGTCTCTCGAAGCTCCTGGCATGGAGACGAACTGTAAACGTCTGTAATAAGATGTGGAAAATCATCCATGTCCCAGCAGGTCTTCGCCGCATAGTCAAAACTTTTCCCTCGAAAGCTTTTTTAGTGCCGCTACCCCGTACTTATCTGCAACTCTGTAGACCTCCACATTGAATAGCATGGGAGATATCCGGGCCTGATGGCTACCGCTGCTGTCGTATTCATGGTCGTACATAAAGTGGATCATGGCTTCAACTGCTCGAGGGTCGTCTTCCTCGAGCTGTATCACATTGTCTATACTTTCCTAACAACCTTCACGTTAATCTCCGGAGGACTCTCACCATAGCGGGGGTACAGTATCACACCTTCCACTCTGGCCGGCTAAATAGACGGTTGAAGTAGTCTGACTGGCCACAAACAACGATTTTATGGACTTTGAGCTCGCAGTCATCTATTCTGATAGTAAGGTCAGAGAACTTAGATGATGTGAGAAAGCTAGAAGATGTTACTTTAGCTGCGACTCGTCGACTTGGGCAGTCCTTACATACTTCTTGAGGCGGAAGGGAAACGCGACTGTCCCTATGTTGTGATCCTTTTCCTCACAATTTCTGCTCACCATGGCCAAACTTTCCTCTTCTCCATGCGACATTGTTGTGTTGACCTATAGTGGCGAGCATGTGAGTAGTCAGTGTGCCTTGGTGAGGCGCGGGATAAGCTATTTCCCGGTTGACCTTCCGCAATTGAAAGTTGGCGCAAGGGTGGCTAGTAATCATGTGGCGGCGCCAAGGCAAGCACGTGTGGACGTGCGGATTGGTGATCAGCTGTTGGAGGATTTGGACTGTGCAATTGTACGGGCCAATCGATACCAGGCAAGTCAGCGTAGATGCTGTAAACACTAATTGTACCTCAGTTCTTCATCGATCTCACTGCTCCCGCGCTCGCAGTTACTGTGATCAACCTTACCTTATCCTCCTATCATTACAGTACAATGAACGCGGTTATAACAGCCAAAAGCTACGCAGGTCCAGGTATTATCTCCTGATATTGTCTTGACTTCTATCTGACCTCTGCTTAGCTATCGCTGCCGGTACAGGCACCCTCGCTGCAATTGGCACAACCTATATACTACCTGCCTTCGGCTTCTGCGCTGCTGGTGTCAAAGCTGGTTCAGTCGCAGCGGGAGTGCAGGCCTCTGTTTACGGAGCAGCTGTCCCCGCAGGAAGTGTGTTCGCTACATTGCAGAGCTATGGTGCAACCGGTGCTTTGGCTGGAACTCTTGGAGTTGCGGCATTACCCATTGGGATTGTTGTTGCGGGTGGAACATATCTTGCTGGCAAGGCGATAAGAGGATGAGTTAGTCTAGTTGAAATACTACAGTTCAAATGGCAATGCTCTCCCGAGTACATGCCCGTGTAGCGGGCAGTCATCTTCATCCCGCAGATTGGCCGTTAAAAGCTGGTTAAGCTGCAGCCACATAGAGTGCCGTAAACGCGTCTAGCACGCGCTAAAACAACGAGAAGGGTCATGGAAATGGAACCCTGGGGCTGCCTCTAGTCGAAAACCATTCATATTAGAATCTAAGGAATCTAACAGACACCCAAGAAATGAACACTACGTTACCGATGGAAACAAGGTGTTGAATTTATATCTTCAGAAACATATTGTCCGACTAGCTTCGATAAGATAATGTCATCTATAGTGCCCGTTTGTAGATGAACTTCGAAGACAATACTGCTTCAATTGATATGGTGCGCTAAGGCGTGGTCGCCGCACGCGGAAGGCCCATCGATTTGGACCGCCTCGGCTATGCTTTGGGTTATCCCGGCCGGCAATAAAGGACTGAAGACTCTTAAGAAATAGGTTTGCTTGGTCAGGGTTTTCAGTCATAGTCTGAATCTTTTTTCCAGTAAGGGTCGCGTCTTCTACAATAATACTCTTCCAACCAATCCCGCTCCTCTTCTATTCGGAACTGTTCGGAATCGTATGCATTGCAATCCTCTTCGTTATCGAATTCGACTCGATCATCGTTGGATATCCAAACCTTCTTTGGGAGCTCTGTGACCTTAACGGTCCAGCCATAGTTCTTCATCTTCTTCGTTAGATCATCGCTTGGGGCCCTCTGAGGGTACATATTTAAATTGACGATGATCTCTTTCAAGGAAGGAATACTCTTGAAGTGCATGTCGAGTAGATTTAATGCCTCCGCTGCGATCACAGAATGGCTGAGCGCGTAGTTGCAGTGTTCGGGTGGAACCGATAGTTCGAGAGTCTCGACACCTGTACAGGTGTCACGGATGAGTTCTAGATTCTTGATATGTACTTCGTGAAGTAAAGCCCTAGTAGGCTGCGGATAGTCAAAGCTAGGGAAAGGTACGCAGATATGGCGAATATGGCTTGCATAAGACCCGATTTGGTCGAAAAATGGGCGGATGTGAGCGCTGGTGGACGCAGATGGTGCGGAGGTGAATACTTCCGGGAATCGAAAGCGGTTATGGGAGTAGAGTAGTGGACTGGCCTCGCGGTGTATCATTTTGCTAACACAGAGAATAGCTGGACAAAGCCCATCTCTTTGGCGCCGAAAGAGGGGCGGCGATGGAGGGCCGCGGTCTGCTACGAAGTCAGTTGACTCTGGGTGAACGAGGAGTTTTAGGTAGATTTTCTGCCGGATCTCAGGAGCAATGTCGGAGAAGTTCATTTCCGTTGGGTGGTAGAGGTGATGTCAAACGCGAAGAGGTGGTTATGCCGGTGGGCAAATCTGTGGCTACCTAGTTAAGTTTATTGCTGCAGTGCTGATGCAGAATCAGCGTCATCTAGTCTTCAATAGCACCAAGTCACTCTCAGCCTTTGGGCATTGTACTGTGCCCCTCGCTAACATATTGTCTAGGGCAAGTACTAGTTCGTGCACCACCTCGCCTATTCCGGGCACTTTTCTGCATACTCAACCACCTCTTCCGTGCACTTCTCAACACGTGACTGTCAACTATAGCAGTCTCATGGGGAATTGCGTTACTGTAAGGCTTCGCAGTCAAGAACCATTAATTTCACCGTGGAGTGCACATTATTAGACACTAAATATTAGGCAATATGGCAACCCAATTGAATATTCCGTACAGAAGCTTGTCTGCAGGCGCTCAGTCAGAATAGTAATAGTCATAGTCCCAGCTGCTAATAATGTCCCTACAGGTGGGAATGCCTCCGGCGAGCGAACGGCCAGAGCGAATGGATTTGCGAGCGAATGCCAAGGGATGCCAAGAGATGCCAAGGGATGGTTCTCACACCAAATTTAGCTAGAGCATTGCACCCTTTTGCATCTTTTTACATCGCTTGACTCTATGACCTCGTCGTCGACTCGACTATCCCCTTTGGCACTTTGTATATGCTTTTTTGGTGTAGTATCTCCTCCTCTTTATCCTCCTCTTTGTCATCGATAAAATGGCCGATTTTATGCCTTGGACCGCGCCAAATGAGTGCGTTGAACACCATCGAGGCCTCCTTGAGCGCCACGTAAATGCCTTGCCTATCGCCTAGCGCCAGGAGCCCTCAGTGGGTGAGGTCTTCGAGAGTAGAAAAGACGCTGAGGCTCGCTTATACATGTAGGCGCTTATCACTGGGTTCGATATCGTTTGTAAAGGCGGAGCGAGTGTAAGGGTTCCTGGGGGCTTATTTAGGTGTATTCATTATGGTAAAGAGACCTAAAACCGCCGCGGACTTAAGGATCGAGTAATTCGTAATGCCGAGGGTGCTATTATATCGCAGCGCAAGCGAGAAGGCACTAAAGTTCGCTAAACTGACTGCGCCTGGCGTGTCAACCTCGCTTATATTATGATCGATAAAAAGGATGAGACTTAAGGGAGAGAATGGACGCTCATAAACGTTTCACCTACCCACTCAGGGCATTCGCTTACCGCAAATACCTTTGCGGCTTATCCGAATCATTATAAAAGGCTGTTAGAGTGGCAGGAGCTTCGTCAACAGGCGGCAGCTCACCGAAAAGGCCAAAATCATGTATTCCAACTCCCGGAGGATCATAGAAAGCGAGGATTTTGGCTTATACCTATCTAGTAAGGAGTATTATACTTCCTGTGGTAGTGACTGTCTACTATATAGACATAGGGTAGAATGACCAGAGGTCATTCTTCCGTCTTCCATCAAGTTCAGCTGAACCTCCACCCCCTGCACAGCTGAACTGGTACGAACAAACCACTAATCATTCATTATCTTCATCACATATTCTTCTAGGTGCGATCGAAACTCGATGCTGACTCCTGGATCGGAAGCCGGATAGCTGACAAGCCCTAACTCAATATGCCGTTGCTTTTCATACGAAGCTTTGAGGGAGTCAGCAGCGTCTCTATCACTCGCACTACCAGGCCCATCACTCAGGACCATGGTCCAGAGTACAGCGTTGTAAGAATAGCATGTTCAGCTCGAACTTCGTTTTGCAACAGAGCATTTAACAAACTGCTCTAGACACTTGTAGCTGCCATTGTTGAATTTCTGAGCAACCCGATTTGCTATTTCCTCATTGCCGTAATTCAGCCAAACACTCCTAATGGCAGTCGGTGTTTGTTCTGAAACTCAGGCCACGAAAGATATCAACGACAGCCTCAGGAGTTGTTCCATGCGCAAGGCCTATAATGCAGGCGAGAGAGAAGTCTGTGGGAAGAGAGGCTTTGAAAACATGGCCCATATCGTCGAAGGAGACTAGGGATCCGAGAATGCTACGGGGCAAATCGTCATCATCGAGATCGTGATCCTACACAATATCAGACGGCTTTCTGCACATAAATATTGAACTAATTCTTACCTCATCTTTGCCAAGGTTGAAATCTTGGTGACTGGCAGTCGCAGCTTGGACCTGGGACATTTTGACAACCTCCGCGCCTCGAAAGAAACTTGCATGGGATTGTCGAGCGGGAGTCTGATATTGCTCAAAGAGAATTTTCACATTGTGGACTCAAAAAATCGGTTGGGCGAGATCGTGTCCAGGCTGATCTGTTGCAACTGTGCGGTAGGCGGAGAGGACTCGGCCTCAGCACGAAATCGGGCTCGCAATTGCAGGACTGTTGCCGCGCTCATCGATGGTGAAAACGTATGAATGACCTTCGTTCTGCGGACTCCTGCGCGCTTCATGGGAAAGATTGCAAGACACCTGAGCGGCGAACTTACACAGAACTGGAATCGTCCTGGGAGTGGTTGAGAGCCGATGCCCCCTGGTTCGGGTCTGACAATGCCAAGGCAACAACAAGCGAAAACTCAAACCAATAAGCTCTACATCTTCCCCGACCGCTTCCTCTGGGTCAACCAATCAGGGAAATCATGCAAGGATGATTAGGCAACCACTTGTGCCAAGCACTACCACTTCGAAGGGAAAAGGATTTCCAACGATGTCAATACAATATTTCTTTGTTTTGGTCCCAGAATTTAGGCCCTTCGGTGTTCTCGATAGAGGACAGTTTACTTTTGGTAAGACAGTATGGCTGCCTCTGAAAGCATTGATTTTCCCCAGCTTATACAACAAATTGAACTTCGGAAAAATTATTTGGCAAAGACCGTCCGAGATTATGCCAATCCTCTCATTAAAAGATGGAAAAAGATGTCGTACGATACACGACAGACGACGATCTCTTCGACATGTCCGGATCTACAAGAAATACCCTACGCTATTGTTTATATGGATACACTGCCTTCAGAACCCACAGTTAGCTGCCGACTTCCCTGGCTGGGTTATGACTGCCTTGCTAGAGAACCCGATCTCCTTTGGCGACTTGTGCATATTCGAACATCTTCCCCTATCCAACAATGGATTCAGCACGACCTTGACCAAATCAACTCGGTCAAAAAATTAAATCCAATATGGTTCAGTCTGCCGTTGTCCGAAATCCCAACAGTGTCTGACGAATATCGCGAATGGGGGAATTGCAACCCGATCGATGCGATGCATATTGCAAGAGCGCAATTTTTCCTGTTCGAGCTACTGGTGGCAATCATTGATGAAATATACCCGCAAACAATGAGAAAAGACGCGGGGAAACCTGAAAAATGGGACATGTTTGTAAACTGCAATTTTGGAGTACCAGACGTCAGTCTAGGATGGTCGGCTATCGGGAAACAATCCTATATCGCACCGTTTGACTTTGATATCCCCGCGATGATGAGACTTTGCCGTGCTCAGCTTGACAATGCCGAAGACGAAGTGTGGTTACTTCAGACTGATCCCGGATTTTACTCTCGTCGCCTAAGAGCTTTCCAGCACTTGAGGGAAGCTCCATCTTCCATGGGCAACTATGTCTGCGAAAGTTCGGTGAAAACATGGCTTAAATGGATTTACATCTATGAAGAGATGGCCCACGTGGAAATGGTGTATAAAAAGTTCCAAGAAAAGCCTGCTGATTTCCGAATGGAACTTGAAAGAGCCGTGCGCTGCCTTAAATGGCTACTGGTATTCACTTGGCGTGCGATGCGGGAGGCATTTTGGAATGACCTGGTCAGGTCACAATCCTTCAAACGCTACCATCGCGGAGGAGAGGTCTCTTTCGAAGGAGCAACCGATCTACACTACTGCCTCATCGGCCTCTCCGGGCACAGTCTGCATAGTTCACGGACGGAGGTCTCCAACACCATGATATATTTCCAACAACTTGATGATCTCCTTGTTGGAGACGCAGCTAGACCTCAGAAACACCTCGACCAGCGAGTGGTCGATGGTATCGCGGATTTAGCTGCTATCTACGAACTGGTGGCTCGAGTGCGATCTAGTAGCTTTTCAGAGGGAGAAATCGATGACGACGATATTGTGGCCAGCAAAACCCGGGAGTATTGGAGGCACATCTTGCTCAAGTCTCAAAATTCAGCTCTGATCGAGGATAATCGAGAAGCAGATTTGGAATCATCAAAGGCGATAGGTCCATTTGTGGAAAGATTTATCAATCTTCCAAGAACAGGAAGAACAAATCAAAGTGGATCCCGGGAACGTCATTCAGCTTTGATCGAAATATGGAAACAATATGCTCGACATCGCCTGGCTGTCTTCCAGGGGTCGTACCTTTATTCTGACGGAGACTTAGAAATTGAACGTGCAAGGTTATACATGCATTTGACGTCTAAGATCACCCAACCCCCTGCGCCGTGCGTCCCTGATCAATATTTCGAGTCTCTTAGGCTTAAAACTGTCGATGAGCTCTGTATTATTGAATCGGGTTCGACAAAGAAAGCCTTGACTGTTGAATCGGGCGTTGGAAAAAAGGCTGGCAAGCGAAACAAATCAGACATTGTTCGTTCTTCGCCTGTAGCTGTTGCCTTGGAAAATGGAGAGCAAGTCAATGACACGCCGCGAATCACGGTCCCAATCCAAACATATGAAATTCTCATTCGCCTTTGGCCAAAGGACGAAAGGACTCTTGGGCGAACGAAGTGGGAGGATTTTGCCCTAGCTTTGACAAAGATCGGCTTTGCTATGGAGCCGAAACGCGGATCAATTTTTAGTTTCAAACGAGGAGGCAAGTCGATATTGTTCCATCGGCCACACCCTTCGCATGAATTAGACCGAGACATGATGAAAGAGAATGGTAAGAGGCTGGCCAAACACTATGGCTTCAACAGAGAAATATTCATCGTTCCATAAGAGCGAACACTCACCCGGTACGCGACTTTCCGTGACTAATAAGTGAAGCGAGTGCAATAATGATAGAGGCAAATATCGTACAGTATACGGTCGCTTACATTATTGGTTATTTTTCTCCTTAAAGTTCCTTCAGGATGTCATATGAATATTTAAGAGCCCTGGCGTATTGGATGGGCGTTTGGGTAGCACCGAAAAGGGTCATGAGCTTGTCTTGTCAAGACGACGATTTATGGTGTAACGGCAATACACAAATGATGATCACCTATCTGTGATTGGACGCAACTTTTCTTATTTTCTCAAACTGACTCCTTGAAACGCCTTACGTATCCAACGACACCCTAGCCCTGTGCGCCAACGCCCGCGTCCGAAGCACTTCATGATATGTAACGCCAAAAGGTGGGGACGTAGAACCCACGAGCATTCCCGATCAACGACGACTCGAAGAGTGTTCTGCAAATGTCTCCATCAAGTGTCCACCCGGTGAGAAACGCCTCCGACTGCCGGCTATACCTGTCGGCGTCGATCCTAACGATTTACCTCCATAGCACCGGTCCCATGACCACAAAACGAAAAGCGCACAGCATTGACGTCGAAATATCTAGGTTCGTTTGCACATGAAACTTCGTGACGAAGAAACCATGAGTCTCGTCGTGAATCCGCAACAGTGTATGATGGAATTTGGAAGATGAACAAGATCAAGCATAAGCGAACGCCTGGAGAAATGTAATCTAAGAATCCACAAGCGCAGAAAATTGGCACTCGCGAAGACGAAAGTAAACCAGAACGCCGAAGAGCTTGTCCCAAAGAGTGGCCGACACGTTTGAGATAAATATCCCTTTGGTTGGAGGCCGCTTGGTCGACTGTGTTCGCCCAAGAATGCGACCACTCAGCAGGTCTCCAGTAGTTCAACTCCTCGCTCGAGACCGAGTGCTGGGTCGTCAAGTTCACCAATCACAGCCCCATCTTTTGTCTGACTATTTTCCAAATGACTTTCTGCTCCGGAGGCCATGTACGGGGCCTTTGCCGTCGAGCCTTTTGTGATTTGGCAAAAATTATGACGCTGCAGAGCAGGCCGCCGGCTGTGGCTAACCAAATCGTACTCAGGTCAAGTCACAAAAACCTCGGGGTCAACCCGCCGCCTCCGTGCAGGTTGGTCCAATTAGGTGTCGAAAGCGACATGGCAGGCGCACCAGTGTCGTTCCACGAGTCGAGCAATTTCCGGATTGCCTGCACAGAATCCTCGTCCGGCTTCAACACCCCTTCGGCAAAACTCAAATCAAGATACCGCAAAGGTGGGCGGCACTCGTGGTCAAGCACCTTCGGATTTGCACCGTGCGCTAAAAGCAGCATGATGGTTTCGAGGTAACCCACCAAGGTTGAAAGATGTAAATTAGAGCGGAGAATTCTTCCATCCCAGTACGAGAATTGATGTCCACGTCACCCGTCGAGAATTCAAAGACAACAAGCTCCATCATCTCTTGTGAGCATACATCTCTATCGCAAAATGGATTTAGACTAACCACGCATTGAACTAGAGGTGCCGCAGGAAGGTGAAACCGTTCAGCCAGTAAGATCGGAGCAACCAAATAACTGTCTTTCAGCATCCGCTTGTTTTCCAGTGAAAGTGCCAACACTTCGTCAATTTTGAGCTTGTCGGCTGAAGAAGCCGCGAAATCTTTGGTGACAGTGATTTCTTGATGCGTCGGGCTAGATGGCGCGGGCTGCAGTGCTGGGTGCTAACGTCTCAGAACGGAATAGCAGCGAATCAACGCTACTTTGACGTCTGAAAGAAGTGCACAAGAGCGAAAAACGGACTCTGGCTGTACAGTAGCGCTGGCCCTGATAGCTCTACTTCCAGAACGTTATCAGGAATACGTCTGTCCACATTGTCCAATTCCGTCGTTCCTGCCCGGGGAAGACCCATCGTCTCTGCCGCCTGTCGAACGTCGCATAGCGTACCCCAAGAAAGTCCAGGCAATCTCCACCTCTTCGAGAATGCTGGCCAATTCGCCGGGGCCAAACGTTCCTTTACATCGGCGTCGTTGATGCAACTCGGCCCTGGGATTATGGAGATCCGAACCGCAGCTTCGTGAGTGGCCGATCGGCGGAGCACAATCTGCGTCGCATGCCGAGTGCACAGATCATTACATAGCAACCGAGGAAGACAACCTGGTGAGTTTTTCTAGTAGGGAAGGCTTCCCACTCGACCGATCGCCAACCACCATAAGCTGATGTGACTTGGTCCTCGTGCCAACGGCAGTCCAAAGAACACGTACCTGGGGCAACGATAGGCCTTCACCGACCCCCAATTCTCGAAGCTGATCCACGACGCAGAGGCAGGCCTGGCGCTTGTCAAGGCTGTGGCAAGCCTCTCGATTTAGAAGACAGTGCCCTTGAGTGATCGACATGATGCGACGCAACATCCGCGTCTTATACATCTTTTCTCCTTTGTACAACCGTTGTAGAAGTCCATGCGTTGTGTATATCGAGGCAAATGAAGGTCATATGAGATGTTCGAGCCCCGAATTGGACGGAAAACCCTCATTTAATGCAATGAAGCACTTGTAAAAAGTAATTGTCGACGCCTTGATACTGTACTGTATCTTAGATGTCAGATTCTTGATTAGATTTAGAGTTGAGAGTTAATACTTCTGGTACATTTCATAGTGTGGGCAATATATTGGAGATATTTACGATCGAAACTGATTCTACCTTTTGCCCAGTCGGACAGGACCGGTCGTTTCTCATTCCTCTTTTGCCCATATTGACGTGATCCCCCTCATGTCGGAACGGTCCCATCCTCGCGACCGTTCGATCTTGGCCTCAGGGAGGAGCTCCAGCAAGGTGGAAGTGATTGTAGGTCACGTTCACGGCTTCACCGTAAACGCGACCACTTCCGCCTCGGCGTCTCGGATCTCCTCTTCGTTCAGTCTTTCGTCGTCGGGTCTTTGGTATATTTCCGTGAGTTCGACATTCTGGACGTAGTCGACACGACCGAGGATGCCTTCGAGTACCGCGGAATCTTTTTCCCCCTTCCCTGGGTGACCCCTAAAGGGGCGCTTGTCGACCTCTCGGACCGGAAACAGCCATCGGGAAACGTCCCTCGAGGCATGAGGGACGGGATACTTCTGGTGCACGACGCGTTGGGACATCTGGGTCTTGAAGATGGCCTGGTTGAACATAACGTCCTCGAAAGTCCCCCCGGCTCGGAAACGGTAAACAAAGACCGGTTTCGTCTGACCCAGGCGGTACGCCCTCCCAATCGCCTGGTCCTCCCATGATGGGTTGAAGCTGAAATCAAAGATGATGATCCGGTTGGCGCCTTGGATGTTCAAACCCAGCGCGCCCGCTCTCGTAGAGATGAGGAAAACGTCATGATCGTCGTCCCTCCGATTGAACGTCTTGACCATGCTTTGTCGGCTGGGCACCTCCGTCTGGCCATCTAAGCGGAAGTATTCACACCCTATCTCCGACAGCATGTGCCCCAGATAGTCGAGCGACGGCAGGTTGTGGGAGAAGATCAGTGTCTTGTCGCCCTCGTTCCTCGCGGCTTGCACGATGTCGCGGACCAGAGCCGTCCGGTAGGACAGCTCGGCGCTCTGTAGCTCGCCTGCCGCATCCACCGCCTGGAAGACCTCAACGACCTTTCGTCGCATCTCGTCCAGCCCCGCCGTCGCCGAAACCGGGTCCCCTCGCCGCTCACGCCCACGGGCCCTGAGCTTGTCCACGCAGCACGATGGGTGATTGCACAGCAACTGGAGGACGTTGACCCACTCCCACAGGTTGGTGCGGCCGGATCGTTCGTGGGCGGCCCCCCCGAGCGCGAAATCGACACAGATGTTGTATGCCTCCTTCTGTAACTCCGTGAGGGGGATGGTGAGGAAGAACTCGGTCTTGGAGGGCATCTCGTTGGCCACGACCGAAATATCCGCGCCATGGATCTTGGGGTCGAGATACCGTTCCAACACACGCAGTTTCTTCAGTGACTGCATTTTGGCCTTCTGTCCGCTGTCCACGTAAAGTCCGTTCTGGATTGGCGTCGCATACTTGGCCCGGAATTGTTTGGTGTTGCCCAGGTATCCTGGGGCGACCCAATCGACCATCGTGTGGTACTCTTCGAGGTGGTTGTTCAGGGGTGAGCCGGTGAGAGCGATGCGGCGTGACGTTTTGAATTTCTTCATGGCCCGGGCGAGGTGGGTGTTCGGATCCTTCACCGCGTGAGCTTCGTCGGCGACGACGAGACCGGGACCCTCCAGCAAGTGCATCGCGACCTTGGCGGAAGCGGTCGGTTGCGTCTTCAGACCGGGTTCGTCCTCGCCGATGATCCGCTTGAACCTGTCGTAGCTGAGAAGCAGGATTCCCCCGCACTCCACCCAGGTTTCAATGACACCCTCGTCGGTCTTAGTGAGCTTGTGTATCCCGCCGAGGGGAGACGTAGACGGTGACCACATTTGGAGTTCGTCGGCCCAATTCTCCAGAAGGGCGGCGGGGCAGAGGATGAGTGTCCGGTCAGTCTGAAGCGGCTCAGGAAGGCACCCCCTCGTCCGAGGGTCACCGCTCCGTCGGCATTGGGCGATGGTGACCAGCAGCGCGATGGCCTGCATCGTCTTGCCTAGGCCCATGGTATGAGCGAGGATGCATCCTTGGCCACTCGGATCCTCCACGATGGCGCGCCACATGAATTGAATTCCCTCGAGCTGGTGAGGTTTTACGCGCTCCGCGATGTGAGGGTCCAAGTTGACAACAACCCCGCCGGGGCGTCCGATCTGAGCAGGTTTACTGTCCACCCTCTCGCCGGGACGTCGTAGGTCGTCAGCCCGGTGGTATTGCTCGTCTTGGCTCTCCGGAACCGACCTCTTTCGTTTCCTGCATGAGGGAATTTCAGGATCTCGCTTCGGAGGTATCGGGGCGGGTTTGTCGATGTGGGCTACTGGAGACGTCGGCGCCTTTGAAACGAGAGCCAGGGGCAGTTCCCAGTCGATCATCTCAAGCCCGAGAGGCATGTTGGGAAAGGACCTCCAAGAAAGCTGGGCGTCTAACCCAGTCCCCAGGATGTCGCTCTCGTCGTTGAACAGGTGATATTGTCCGTCAATGGCCCTCGCCAGGGCCATGCCGGACATCTCTCTTCGCAGGAGGTCCGTCGTGGAGGTGTGGCAGCACCTCGTTCGCACGATTCGGGTGGCCAAGGTTCGTACTTGGTGGTACACAATTGGGCCCACGTTCCGTGTGTCATGGAGTGGTCCAAATCTGAGGGCGACCAAAGGGAATCGGGGGATCTATATATCTTCGTCAGTGCCGTTCCCATCTGGTCGCAGTGCGGATTTGGGTGTTTGTGCACAGGACCTGATGACAGGAACGGGCCATCGCCTTCTTCCCCTTCAAAGCCCAATTCGTTCAACTTCAAACGGTGAACCCACTACGAGTGTGGCGGCCACTTCGCTTAGGTGCCGTTTCTCTCGGAATGTCGTATGATCGGTCCAGGACGTCTGGTCAACTCGTGAACCCCTGGGCTCTTGTTGGCGTAAGGCAGACAACTCGAAGCCCAAGGGTGATACCATCCCATGACACGGCTGGAGAACCCCGTTGCGGCAATGCGCATGTCCACCGTCATGGGCCGGCCCGTCAGCTAGATGGTTATGCGGCTCATTCGGTTCTCTCCACTCACCAGCCGCAACCTTGTGTTGAGTCGTGGAGCCTCTTGAGTTCGAGTTTAGTGGCAAAAGACCAATTGTCAGCCTGTCCCACGGCAAGGTCGACCTCCATTTCTTCATTTCTCGCCACCGCGAGCGATGCCTGGAAATGAAGTCCGCCATGATCAGGACCTGGTAGGTCCGTGGGTGTGGTCTGAAAAAATGTCCAAATCCGATCTCCGTCGCCATCCATATCGAAATTAGGCACCAGGATTGAGATTGTGACCACGAAGCATCTCGGCAGATGTAACCCACGTCCCAGTGTGGTGAGATGAAGGCCAGGTACCTCACAATTGCACAGCGGGAATTTTCACACAACATCGCTTTATGATTATTTATGGCTTGGGATGCTCGATGATGATACTCCCGTCGGATTCACCAGTTACGTACAAAATTACCGCCATTCACTCCCCTCAGCCATACAACAGTTCGAGCGAGTGATCTTCTTGCCGACTCGTTACGCACGGTAGCTGCAGACTTCTAATCGGCTTTCTGAACCTCCGATTGAAGTGAAACAGATATTTCCTCGTATATGTAGGACAGCTTTTGAACCCATCATAATTGGATTTACGTGGAACTTTCTAGTGGTTGAATGATGTGCAGAGCACATTAACTAATCACCCGTAACATTTGCTTGCCCGGGCCTCAAAGTATTCACCCGTAACGCTTGGTTCTGTCGTAACCAATCGTGGCCCCTGAGAGAAGCCTATAGATGCGGTTCCTTGGCGCTGGGCTTATGCAGGGCTCGCGTAGGGTGTCCCCGTTGTAAATTACGGTGCGCCTAACTGGTGTCCTGAAGGTGAAATCCCAATCCCCAATGCCGATCACGAAGCGCAATCCGACGAATCACGATCGGGAACAATGCAAAACCTGCGCGACTTTGTCAAACGCAGCAGGTCCTCCGTGTGGCGCCATAACCGAGGGGCACCCTCGAAGAAGGACAAAGCAAGGAGAAAGCCCTGAGTTACGTTCTACGATCCGCCACGAATGGCTACCCGATCTTCGTCAAGTCTCTTGGTTTGCTAGCACATGAGATACGACCCTAACGATCTTCCCATTCTAAATCCCTACTCTCAACGACAACGTGAAGTCTCCCGGCAAGTTATTGGCCCCCAGGCGTTCTACAAGCGTCACCCAGAAGTCAGATCCAAAATAGTGAAGACTTGGATTGGGGTCGCCATGATCTACACATCCGTGACAAGATTGTGGAGTGGTTCGATGTCGTGGGACCAATCCTGAACAGTTTTAATGCTCCGACGAAAAATATCTACTGTACATCCGCAGGAGTCTCTCGCCTGTCATCCCGCACGACTAAATCGAAAACTCCTCTGCCTCTAAAGGCTTTTCAAATACTTTATCTCCAATCGGCTCGCGGAGACGTCGTTTGCAGGGAGTGGTGAGGCAGGCGGAGTCCAGTTCTTCAGCGCCTCAAATTCCGCGCTTTGTCCCTCACCGCATAAGGCGGTTCCTCTTTCCGTTCAGACTCAAAGCGTATGTTTCACATGACCACTAAGGGGTTCGAAATCTCGAACGGCGAAATGATTCGCGCTAAGATCCTCGAGAGTTTGTTTCTGTATCCAGACCTCTGCAGCATAGGAATACCTTAGATCGGAGCCCGTAGCAATGTGGCGAATTCGATCGTCGATGGCGGACGCGGACTCAGACGGCTCAGCAAGCGCAGCCTTGATACTGCGCCCCTCCTCATTCTCCTGCAGGTATGTCGTCACGACACCTCCATGAGGTTGGGACTTAAAATAGTCCACATTGTGCACCGCACCGTGAGCGGCCCAAAAACCATCTGTGTTGATCTCCGACCCGTCACACTCCCAGAAAGCGTTCTCCGGCAGCGCAGAGCGCGTCGGCGTGGGAGCCGCAGACGCGGAGCACCGCCCACCGATGTACCTTGAGATCGCGGGGCCTGACGGTGGTGAGTGCGCTGCGGGCCATTTCCATCCTCCGACAGACGATGGGTGATCATCACTGGTCTTCCTAGCTGAGTATGGCGATCCTGATTTTGTTGGTTCGCAAGACTCCGCCTCGGGGAGAGAAAGACCTGACCATTCTTCTGATGGCTTGTGTCTGGCCCGAGACCGCTGATCGAGCCCTGGTGGTTCGAGCGAAGCGCTCGACTCAATTGTTTGTCCAACTCTGGGTGGGTGGTCTCCTAGTACTCGTACAGCAGCAGTCCGTGAACGGGTAGTGGCCATGTATACGCAGAGAGCCCGGTCTTGAAGACAGCGACCACAACCGGGTCTGTCTTTGGAACATTTAATTTTCCGCTTACGACAGCGCGTGCATGCCCAGCTGGTCTGTGTCCCTCTCTGCTTCTTCCTTTTGCTTATCTCGTCAGTGTACGCCGCCGACAAGTCGTGCTGGGACATGGGCTGATCGTCTACTTTGTTCTCAGTGAATGCGGCAAGATCACCGACTTCATCAACACCAAAGCCAAGAGGGTTTGGCGGCTGCATTGTATATGTCGCCCCACCCTCACTGGAATGCGGGGCCACTTGTGATAGGAGACGTCGTCGGAGAAGTCTTTTAGCGCCAGGGAATGTAGGTCGACGAGACGTCGTTCGAGTTGGGATGTCTAGGATGGGCGACGGTTGCGTGGCGGCCAACCCGCGGCCCTTCGCACGATCTAGGAGGTGTGGCTGATCCGGAGGGTGATCGATCTTGATCAATGTGTTGGAGGGAATACTCGAGAGGTGAATTGTGAAGTCGTCAATGTCTCCAGACGGGTCTCCAGACGAGTCTCTTTATAGGGTTTTCCTCGCCACGCAAAGTGGCAGACCAAATCTTCCAGACTCATCTCGTCGCGTGAGAAAGGCTCCTGCCTTCGACTGACTCGATGACCATCAGCCCTTCCCGGCATCGATGGTCAGGCCTGGGCTCTGATCGCGAAATCTGTTCAATCCGCCTTGCCCTAGTATGGACGCTCGATCGTCAACGGCTCACTGTTCTGCCTGACTGCAGTTACGCTTAGCAGCGAAAGCGAGTCTGTTCTCCGGGTGCACTTCCACGATCAATCGTAGGGATCGAGCGCTAAGCCGTGGAGGGCGTTTTTCGTGGTCTCAGGATGAACGCGTCCAAAGTCCATGCCCGGCGACATATCCACTTACCTCGTCCCTCTACGAAGGCATCCAAAATCCTGCTATCGGGACAACCAAGTGCAGAGACCCCCCTGCCTGCCAACGAACGGAAATCTCTCCGGCCGCCAATTCGCCGGCAATGAGTTGTATGTAGCCCTCATTGTTGCTCAGCGCAGCCTTGGCATCAAAATACACGCATAGGCGTTGTCACGCCGTTGTGTCTGGCAAATAGATCCCCGAACTCATTCCCACAGACCCTTGAACAGTCTGATACAGCCAATCAGTCTCTTGATGGCTGCCAAGGGATTGTTGATGATTCGATAAGGCCTACGGTACTCCAGAGCCGGGAAGTGGGTCTAAAAGCTGGGCGACTCGTCCTTGTGCGCCTTGCTATGCTTGATGGAGATGGTCGTCAGATTCCTCACCCTCAGCGTCAGCTCGCCATCCTCGGCACAATTGGTGACTTCAAGGCTCTTCCACCAAGAAAATTAAATATGGTTGGTTCTTGAGACATCGTTGGGGGTGGTTGTGGGTGCCAACCCTGTGACGATGGTCCTGGAGGGCTGTGACGATTGACTTATGGTCTCCCTTGTACCCTGAATGCCTCGGTCGCCGTCGAAGACAGGCGCCAATGTCCCCGAGAGGAAGGCAGCGAATCTGAGTGGGAGCAACATCGCGAGGCGACTACGGCCGTGACCAAGTGTCGATGAAGATGTTTGATCCCCATTTTTTTAACCCAGTGTAGGTCGAAGGATTTGTGCTCTCTACCAGTGTTGTGCTCTATAAGACTGTTGAAATCATAGGTATCAATCATGCCGTTTTGGAGCGAGTTGATGTATCTCATCTGAC